ACAATTTCATGTTTTATGATACTGTTGCCACATGCAACAGCAACAGCAACAGCAGCGGCAGCGGCAACAACAACACAATATCATGTGTCGCTTGTCGCTTGTCGCTTGTCTGCGAATGTTGCTGCCATTTGCATTTTTATTTTATCAATTGTACGCGCATTTTATTTCCATTTTATTTATTTATTCATTTTTTGTATTTATTCGGTGAACTTTTTGTGGGCAAAACTATGAGCATTTTCAACACTCGAAAGAAATAAAGAGAGAAAACAATTGTTTATTATTTATTAAAGTATTTGTTGCTGCCGCTCTGCCTCTGCCTCTGCCACTGCCACTTCCACACATTCATTTGGTGTTTCGTATTTCGGTGTGTTTTGGCGCTGAATTCAAGGCCAGAAGAGACCTCTTTATTTGTTCCACATTCGAAAACGGGCATGGGCACGGGCACGGGTACCAGTACGAGTACGAGTACGAGTATGGGGGGCACTCGTACGAATACTATTCATTCGTACAACATTTCATTGTTTAATTTGTTTGGCTTTTTCCCTGCTTTGGCGTTTTTGGTGTTTTCGGGCGTCAAACGCAAACGCAAACGGAATTGGAAAACAGATTTTGAAATGCTTTTTGGATATTTTTCGTATTGCGAATTGGTTTCTGTAAGTGTGAAAGTTCGTGGGACGCCCCATGGGGGGATTCTCAATTGAATGCAAATGAATCCAAATGAATATGAATATGAATGAATGCACCCGAAGATCGCATCGCATCATCCATCTTTTATTGTATGATAATTTCAAGTGCTTATGGACTCGAACCGGTTCGCAGCGCGTACCTGGATCGTTTCTCAATAAAAATTCGTCGAAATTGATTGGATTTCAAAGTAAAGTGCAGCGGGAGAAATCACGAAACAGGTTCCCATACGAATAAATCGGAATGATTAGGAAGATGTTATAACAGTTTAACAACAACATAAAAATTCTCTATGCGAAAAGGGTTTCCAAGCGAATGATTGCCCTCTCAATGAGTTTGTGGTGAAATGGGTGAGGAATGGAGGCCATAAGCGGAGACAAATGTCAAACATTATCATTGTGGATCTACCTTTTCATGTTGTAGTCGGTTTTCCCAAACAATTTCCACCAATTGGTGTCTGGTTTGAATCGGTTTTGTGTCTCTTCTGCTGCGGCTGCGGCTGCTGCTCTGTTGCTGTTTGCTGCAGCTTTTGCGGCTTATGCAATGCATTTTCAAATGAATTGTTCGGCAAATCAATTTGCATATTGCGCGGCGCATTTGCGGTAACAGCAACAGAAACAGCAAGCAGAACCTGCCTCTTGGGACGAAGAGTAGGCTGTGTATTTTTGTGTGTGTGTGTGTGTGTGTGTGTGTGTGTCTGTGGCACCGCCCCACCACTCACCACTGCACCAACAGCAACAATTTGCAAAAATATTTTTGTGTTTCACACTCAATTAATGCCAATTGACTGCGAAAATTGCCAACACCTTTGACACGTTTTCCCATTTGAACGCGGCAGACAGAGAGAGAGAGGCAGGCAGGCAGATGGAAATGGAAATGTGAAAGCAATCTCTCTCGCTCCCACAGAGTGTTTTAGTGTTTCTGTTTCTGTATCTGTGTCTGTTTTTGTGGCTGTGACACACAATGCCCAAGCCAATTTGCTAGATATTCAATTGAACAGGGCAGCAGAAGAGCAAGGAGCAGAAGTTGCCTCGCGGTTTTACGTTTTCGTTTCGTAGTTCCAATAAATAAATAAATTGTCACATGCAAAATTCATGAGACAAAATACATTCCACTCCGCAACAACCTCAAATTATTGACATTTTGAACGCAATTGAACTTTCCGCATAAATTTCCACTGAAACCCATCCACCCAGGGGGTGGTGGGCAGCGGAGGGATATGCGTGTGGAATGTGGAAGGTTATTTCACATTGAAATCGAGTCGCATCGAATCGAATCGAATCGAGAATTGAATTGAATTGAATGAAATGTAATAGCTTAATTGATAAATAATTGTTATTGCTATTGCATTAAGTGGACAAGAAGGCAGACCAAATGATGGTATTAATCAAAGTGATGCCCTCCCCACCCTTCTCCATCCTCCTCAACAGCTCGGGAATGGGAATTGGCAGGATATCGCAATGCATGAACGAATGAGTGAATGAGCGTATATGCTGCACAGATTCACAGACATGTGACTCCCGCAATTATAAAGCAATCAAGAAGAGGCTAACCTTTTGTGGATGAGAGCCTCACTCTCTCTGGAGGAGCGGATTGTAGAGGACTTTGGTTGAATCATTTTGGAGCTAAGCATTGCCCAATTGATGGAGCTCTTTAAGCACAGAGAACTTAATTTTATTTAACTTAGCTTTTATCTAGGAAGAGAATGGCACAATATACATATCTAAATCTCTAGACATTTCTCTGCAGCAACTGGGTTCTCTCCGCTATCATAGCATATGTTCAATTATCTTTTATCTTTCAAAAGAGGAATGCCACTGAGTACAGTACAAATCTGTGTATGCAGAAAGAAAGTATCTTCCAAAGTATTCTTTCCAAAATGAAATATAACCAAAATGACTTTTCCTTTAAGGCAATTATTCCGACCTACCACAGTCATTTCTGCGTTCAGCAACAGCATTTACAGTGTAATTATTTCTTGGTGCATTACTCACCTTTGCTGCAATTGAATCTGTATTTATATGTTTTTCATGTGAAAAAGCAATTTCCATTAATTAATTGCATTCAAATTTAATCTGAATATGAACCAAAACTACTTGTTTTATATCAAGTAATGAAACTTTTTGAATCTTTAATCATTTAAAGATCTTTCGACGCTTTCTTTTACCCTCCAGAGATCACTGAAGATCCACATAAACATTGCGACATTCCCATTGCTCTTTCCATATGTAGTCTTTCTTCTCTCATAGTTTACGGAGACATTTTCCTGGTGCGTTAATCAGCAACGTTAATCTGTGCACATTCCGTATAGTACACTTAGTATATGGTACTATACTTAGTATATATACTATAATTTATGACCGCATACACATGCGAGCATGAGCAATGATTTTACGCTGCGATTTTGTGAAAAATGTGTGCAAATGTGGAAACACAATGCACCAGCACCCACAATCTACGTTCTCAGGGGCATGAATGGGGGGCATGGGGCAGGGACAAAAGAAAGAGATATATGCATATGCCACATAAAGAGATTCGCAGAGAGAGAGAGAGAGAGAGAGAGAGCGAGAGAGACCGATCATCAATGCTCGCTCTTATTTTTAATTACATATTTTATTTTATTTAAATTGTAATTTTTATGGTTTTTTGGGTGCATGGTCATGGGGGAGTTATCTTCCGCCGATTGGAGGCTGTCCGTCAGCTGTGCTATCGCTTCCGGGTTGACACGCAGATATGAAGAGCGAGAGAGGCAGAAAAAGACAGAGAGAGAGAGAGAGAGAGGCTCTGTCACAGTGCGAGGCCAGACAGATAGACTCTTCGTGATGGTTCTGATTGATATTTCCCATTGATGCTGCGGGATATTCGGATTGTAAAGGATCTGTGAGGTATGTAGTATCTGTCCGATCAGTAGAATCGCTGAGCGCTCTTTGGGATACAAAATGACTAAGGAGGAACATTTTAACGATTGTGCACGATTGCAGATCTGAAGGCAAATGCAAATCTCACGACTCCCTGGGGGTTTTTATAGCTCCTTTTCCCCGATTTTTAGTTGGTTAACCCCGTTAGCAAGTCGCACGCGGGTTTTTTAGCATTCATTCGTTTTTGTTTTGTTTTATTTTGTTTCATTTTTTGTATTATTTGTATCCCCGCTTGAAATTCATTGTGTGTGCTTGCTGTTTCTGCTGTTGCTGTTGTTTTCGATTTTAATTTAATTAAAATTATGTCAACGCAATTGAAATGTTATTGAACCACGAAAGCACGAAGCAGCAACAGCAGTCGTCGCCTGCCTTCTACCACCTGCCCCCACCCTGTCCCCCCTGACGTTGCCAAATCGACGAGTTCATTAATTTTGGATTTTGTAACTTTTATTCAATGTGCGGTAACACACACACACACGCTGTACTAGTAGCACTCTCAGTCAGGCAGTTGTATATTTTATGCACATCCAATCGAATCGAACTTTACTCGGAGCTCCCATTATTTATGGGCATTAAGATATAGAAACAGTCGGCAACTACATCGGCAATCGGCCAGAGAAGCAGAGTGCCAGCAGCAGCAGCAAGTGAAATGCTTCCAGGGAGAGATTGGAGACAAGATCGCTCATGTTTATGGAACTTGTAATGGTACATCTACCATGGGAGTAGCTCGTTTGGATCTTTCGGTAATTTGGCTTCTCTTTTGCATAAAGTACTTGAGAGGTTCCTCCCTCTTTCTCACCGTCATCTCTTTTATATACCTCTTAATGATGTCTAATCCGACTGAAACAATACCCATTCCAGATCTACCGTTTTTTTTAATGCATTTTCTGCAGAAACGGCCAGCAACTGGGCAATAAGCAAGAGCGTAAACAGTTGTTGTGTTAAATCAACTAAAACGGAAAATAAAAAGCGAAAGGAAATGTGTAAAAAAGGGAAATAAGGTGGGTGGAGCGGCGAGAGCGTGAAAAAACTTGTCAACGCCCCCGCGAAATTGTTCCCCTCTTTTCTTCTTATTATTTTTATTTTTGTTTGGGTTGAATTTATGGCATGCACAATTATCAGCGGAAAAACTATGCGCAAATGGGGAGAATAACAGCAGAAGTCAGAGGTCGATGTATGGGATACTCTTTTAGAACCGCATTTAACTAGGGAATATAAGTGGCATGTCGTCAATCAAATCAATATTTCATAACAATTTAGCATTATGTGACAGATCCCCTTTGTTCTACCGCTTTTTACGATTTAAATACACCGCATCCCACTCCCAAATGATCCTAAATGAAGGCCATAAATTGTATTTCTACCAATTTATTTATGTATTTATATGGTTGTACTCACTCCAAATCAGGCGGCCACATGAAAGCCAAATAATGTGGGAATTCCAGAGAGAAAAAACCTTTCTCTATCTCCGAATATATATCTTCGGGAGCGGTGCACAGGATGCACTGTCGCCGTCCTTCCTGTCCTTTACGTGGAATACGGTGGGGCGATAGCGTTGGATACTGAAAATTAAAGGGAGAAGAACAGAAACCGAAATTAAAGCCACGAAATGTTGAATCAACATTAAATTTGAGTCAAACGAAACTTTTGCGCTGATAAACCGGGCGGAGGAAGAGGTGCGGGAAGGAAGCCGAACAAAATGAGAGAAAACTGGGAGTGGAAATGAATGGAACGATTGAAGCGAATGGGTGAGTGGTTGAGTGGATGAATGGGTGGGTGGGGCATGTGCCATATCCCGTATCCAAGAGGAAGTACAACGAGCGGACGGGCAAATGGCGCACTTAACAAAATTGCGACCTTGAGAGACCGAAAACATCGAAGAAACATCCAAATTCCAAGAAGAATTTCACATTTTCACAGCGAAAACAAAAAGCTCATGACATCCGGGGGCGGGGTCTGCTGCCGCGATAAGGCATAAACGATAAATGTATCATTGGGTTCTATATTCTCTGGTAAGTCTTAGATTTTCTGTTGTTTCCATGTCGGAGAAGGAATTGGGGGAATTTTTACTCCAGAATTCGGACCGAAATCCACCTAAATTTGAGACAATTTAGTGTTTAGCTAAATGAATAGAATGCAAAGCATCATTAGTTATCTTTTCTGTTGGGATAACTGCATGAAACAACCCACCGAAAGAGCACTGAAAGCATCGTTTAAGCTTCAAAGTTTGGTCTAGTTTTCGGTTATCCCGTTTCCCATTTCCTGTTTTTCTGCATTTCGAACATTTCAGTGTAACAAATCCAGTTATTTGTTGAATTTGACAGTTTAATTCTACGCCTCGATGAGCGAACGAGAGAACATGAACATGAAACCCTCTTTGAAGCTCCCTCCCACCGTTCGAAAGCCCCAATCACAGAGGCACTCTGCCGCCTCTTCCGCTCCCGCCATCAGGCAATGTCTATTTCAATCCAGCAGATACATCTACAATAGATGGGGAGATGTATCTGATGGGTTGCTGTTGCTTTTGCTGCTGCTGATTTGAGAATCAAACAAGTTTGACATTTCCAACGAGAGCAGAGTTCTGTGTATTCCACAGATATGTACACTGCTCCAAGGGCAAAAAATACACAGATTCAAACACTTACTCCAAGGGCACAGGCAGATACAGATACAGATACAGATACAGATACTCTAGAGTTTCGATACAAAATCAAAAAGGTGTTTATAGGAATACCAATTTGCATCCATCTGCCAGAGTGATTCGTTTTCAGTTCCAGTTCGTTTTATGGGTGTCGAGGGGGAATAGGGCTCTTTGGCTGCAGATGTATCTGTATCTGTGGCTTTAACTGTAGCTGTGCCTGTGTCTGTGTTGGCTGAGTGAAAACTTGTCCCGCAATCAACTTGCGAATCAACGAAAGATCATTAAAATACAAATAAAAATGTGAGCCGCCGCCAAAAACAAGTTTAAAATGTCAAAAAAAAAAAAACATGTGAAAAAACCACAAAAAAAAAATACAAAACGGCAACAATTGCTGCCGCCGTCCACGGTGCCGCTGCTGCTGCTGCTGCTGCTGCAATATTGCATGCTGTTCCGTGGCGCCGCAAAGGCAACAAAAATCAAATTAGCGCCCAAAAAGATCTTCCCCCCACCACTGACACTGCCCTCGTGCCACTGCCGTCTGCCTTTGCCTTTGCCTTTGCCATTGCCTTTTTGACTGTTGCAATCGACATTCATTCATTCAATCATTCATTCCTTCCATTTGTCTCGCTTTGAATACCCTTTCAACGGAAAGAGATCATATTCACGCTTCCTTTGACTCTCCAAAGAGACTCACTATTAAATTCTCGAAATCGAATCGTTTGAGGATTCTGATTTTTCATCTCTAACTTTCATATTCTAACACATATTTATTTATACATTTTTGAGATGTGCTCCTCCTTAGGAACATCTTTGTGATGCCTTACAGTCTGACCATGGATTTCTATGGATTATGCCCAATTGAGTGTTTGGCAATTCCTTTAAGCTAACATGAAATGGAGTGTATATTTTGTAGGGTATATTCTAAATGGTCTTTCGGCAGCGTTCACTTTTCTCTCTCTTCTCCCATTTGTTGTGCTGTACTTTTTTTATTGCTGTTCATAATTCGCGCTTATGCAAAAATGTTTAATTTTAACACAAGATTTCTTACTTGTTTTCTTCTTTTGGCAATAAAACGGAACAGAGGGGAGGGGGCAGCCAACTGCAGCCAGACTCAAAAGCGCGACAGAGAGACAGCAATACTCGAAAGGCAGAAAGGCAGAAAGACAGAAAGACAGCAAGACATATAAATGATAATCATTATAAGTCAGTTAAAATTTATGAACAATGAAAACTTCAACGACCACAAAAATGCCAAACGGTTGGAACGAGGGGGAACGCCGTTGGCACTGGCTAGGGTAGGTGGGAGAAAGGGAAAGGAGAGGATGTGCGACTAAAAATGTATATTAAGATGACAAAAATCACAAAATGTACATTCATTTGCTACTAGACAAAAAAACCATCGATGTTCGAGCGTGTGCCAACAGCAAGGGGATGCACATGATTCCAATATCTGTGAAGAATTTCCATGACCAAATGATAAGAACTGATTTTGATTTATTCGGATTGCAATAAAACACTCGAAGTGAGTAAAAAGAATCTTTGGAGTCAATCAAATCTATTAGCGAGGCTAGCAGCGGAGAGAGAGAGAGAAAGAAACTGCTGGCTGTTGCACGGTTGAACTCTGGCAATTGCAAAAGAGATCCAAGAGATCCGCGAGAGGCGGAACCCGCGACCAAGACATGCTTAAAGCACAATTAATTGCCTTGCAACGACAATGAGACAAGGAGACAAGTGCCAGCAGGGGCCTCATCGACTGCAGTATTGCTGTCATCAGCCATCCATCCATGCCACATTCACATCCACATCATCGTCAGCATCCAAAGAGCAGGCCCCAGATGTCAGGGACAGCAGCCCAAAAACCCCAATGGAATATTCACACAGAGGGAACTTTGATCTGTCATAAAAGGGGGGAATATCAGTGATGGAGGGGCGGGGGACTGGGCAGCATCGGCTTAAGTCATTCAATCATTATCAACAATTCACGACATGCACGACATATAGAAGCCGACCCCCGACTGTTGTCTGTAGCCGTATTTTATGGCAAAATGCAATCTGCTTTTCTTTGCTCTCTACCTCTCTCTCGCACTCATTACCAAACTGCTGCACAGAGAGAAAAGTATGTTCCATAAATCGTCATATCCAGCTAAAGATTTAACAGTTCCATCAACAAAGTGGACATCAACAGCTTCGTTGTTCGTACAAAATAAAGAAAGTCTTCTAATAATTAATTTTTGAAGAAAAATCATATTTGGAATGCTACAAATTGGAAGCATTTTTCATATATATCCTCTATTAAGGTAGTCTCAAGTTTTCCCAGTGTAGATTTGTTTCTGTTTTGCGATTCTGATCGGTTCAATCGGAGGTCAATGTTCGCGCGGCGTTCGGAATGTTTTTCGCACAATTTTTCAACAAATTTTTCTATTCATTTTTTTTGCATTTGCATTTGCATTGTGTTTACTCTCGCGCGCTCTCTCTCACTCTCTCTCTCTATCTCTCATGCTGTGGCATACTGTCTCTTTGCCTTACTCTTTGCAGAGTCATTAAACTTGCCATGGATTTTTTCTTATCAATATTGATGCCTGCCGCCTGCCACGGTTCTGGCTGCGGTATGTTGCAGCTGCATCGCATCATTAGTTGGATGATTTTGAATGTGGAGCATCTATTGGATGCTGGATCGCATCTCACGTTCCATGAGGGAACAGCACAGGGGCAGGCCCTACACTGAGGCTCTGTTGTTCTGGATTCGTGATCCGGCCCGGCCGTGTGTGTGGTGTGTGTCTTGTGCCTTGTGTTTAGTCAGCAGTCATCATCAATTCAATTGCTTGGACCACAAAATCATTGACAGCGCAAGAGCTAACAACTAGCAACACAATGCCCCTGCCGCTGTCTCTGCCTCTGTCCCTGCCACTACCCCACTGGTGGTTGCAGCATCAGCATCTGCAACAGCAGCATCAGCAGCATGTCAGCGCATTCGTGGTCACACGACCCCCCGCCACCGCCTTCGGGGCGCCATCATTGGGGGGGTTCATGGGAATCCGCTCCAGAAGATGCCACACACAGCAGTAGCAGTAGCAGAAGCAGAAGCAGAAGCAGCAACAACTGTTGCAGCTGCAGCAAACTTTGGCCCCGCTTTGGACGCTGGCATTGGCGTGGGTGCCATGCAACACACAGACAGGGGGAATGGTGGCATGGGGGGGGGGGGGGGGTTGTTTCTGCTGCTTTTGCTGCTTGCATTTCGCTGTCGCAACAAATTTTAATACATTTCTCACATGATTTCGACGAATTGTTTGCCGCGGTTGCTTCTGTTGCTGCAGCCGCTGCTGTTGCAAGTGTTTCGTGTCCCATTGTTTGGCGTCTCATGGGGGCCCTTCGGCGGTTGGATCTGGTTCTGGCTCTGGCTCTGGCTCTGCAGTCAGTCGGTAATGTAGCATGCCATTATGCCACTATAACATGTGCGTTGCCTGCCTCCCCCGCGACAGAAAATGCAAATAATCATGCATCACATCCGATGAGACAGAGGCAGAGGCAGAGACAGAGCCAGAGACCCCCACAATAAACAAACAAAAGTATAATCATGTCATATGCGAGGTCGGAAAAGTTCTACGAATCGAATCTAACCTGCATAGATCTGTGGACTTAAGGGCAGAGAATGCAGGCAAAAATTCCATCGAGTTCATGCAGATCAATTTTAAAAACTTTCCATGAAATTAACCCAAATATATCGAACTTTCGATCCACCAATGCATATCTGGCGGTACTCACTTTCTGGTCTAAGATATGCTTCGGATCTCTGCTTTTAGGGCATTTTTCTATGCGTTAAACCTTCAAAAATGTATGAAAAGTTTATGGTTGATTGTTTTCCTCCACTTTCTGGTGTTTTCCATCCATTTTCGTAACTTCGTTTTGATTATTTTTTTGCCG